GGCGGGCCTCCCCTTCTGGGCCCCCTGGTCCCGGTCGCAAGCGCGACCGCTGCGACCCTGGTAGTTCCGCCAGTGTACATGAGCTTCTTTGCGGCGTTTTTGTAGCGTGTTTCCATAGGGATACAGCCAAGTAGCCCTCGGAAACGCGCGTTTGTCGGTGGTTTTTTTAACCACGAATCTCTGTAAAAACGCGTGTCACGAAAGGCGCGACAAACGCGCATATTCGATACTCTAGGTGTGAACAGAGCCTAAGATAATCTTTTTTTATACCCAATCATGTTACTGACCTGTTGCCAATTAACCTAATTAGTTGCAAAATGTTCTTCCAGCTCTTCCCTGTTAGTACCACTTACTGCCAGCTTTTTGTTGCTCTGTCCCAACTTATTTGAGACGTGTTGCTGCCATCAATTTCAAAATTACCTTTTTTTTTTTTTCTTAAAATGGTCAATTTTCTCAGTTTAAACATTTGATCTGTTTTCTGTTTTGTATTGTGAATAAAATATGAGTTTATGAGATTTTCAGATCATTGCATTCTGTTTCTGTGTAGATTTTACACAGCGTCCCAACTTGGAATTTGGAATCGGGGTTGTACATGTACATACCGTACTTTTAATGGCTTCAGCCAATGTGGCTCCACGTTGCAATGCTTTCAATTTATGTTGCTTCTTATTGTGAAGTATAACTTTGCGAAATACTTATAATCATTATGTTGCTTTTACTGATCTATGCAGACAGAGTTAAAAGAATGGGGATACTGAGAAAGGAAATTGTGACATGAAGAATAGTTAAAGCTGAACAAATGTTTGTTAGACACCAAGCTAAACTCCAAGTAAACTGCTGAATACATTTCATATAGTTGAAATACTGTAAGTTCATGCTTTCACTTGCCAAAAGGATTTGTAAATGTGTTTTGCCAGTCTGCTGTGTGCCAGACGCATCTGACACACAGCATAGCCAGGTCAGTAACCTTATTTTATCTACTGCAGTTAGGAAATACAGCTTGGTCACCACCCTGCTTCAAGCTAGTGGTTGGACTATGAAGGAGAAGAAGCACACATAGGAGGTCACCTCTCTTCTGTATCTCTGTGTAAAGCAATATAGAGTGCGTGTTGCTGTGCATTGCATTGCAGGAGCAGATATCAAGACAGATCTAACAGCTTCTGCTAGTTCTTTGTAAAAATATATTCAAAGCCTATCTCCAGTAAAAAAAAAAAACTGTTTCTACAGCAAACAGGGGAGCATAAGGAGTTACGCGAAAAAACTTCTAATAAACAATATGATACACCAAACTCCAGGGTTTCGACAAAACTTATCAAAAATCGGAATATCCCCTAATTAAGAAATCCCTTTCTCAGAGTTGGTTTAGTAGACAGGTATAACATGTAAATTTAATTAGAAAATTCATTTATTTATAAAGAAACAGGAATAGACGAAAACAATACATCCATAACAAAACACTAAAATCAATTAAAAAACTTCCCTTGAACAAACAGTAATAAATAGTAACACGGAGAATCTGCAAGCCTGCTGGTGTAGAAAAGATCTAATTAATATAAATACATGCACTGTGTTTCATGTACGGATACAAAGTATCCAAAGTTACTCACAACTCATACGGTTTAGGGAGAGACAGTCCTGCTCGAATCCCTCAGCGCTAGATGGTTGAGTAATGCTTCACTTCAAAGAGTGTATCCTGTGGCAATGGTTTAGGATTCAGAGAGAGGGGTATGTTGGTAGGGCTGTAACGATGTAAGCGCCCTTCCCTTGCCCCTTTCTGGGCGCTCTCA